AATATTAGTATGGATAAATGGTGAATCTAGCGTTACTATATAATGGCAACGAATGAGTTAAATTACTAACAACGTAAAAAATTTATTTAGTGAGTACAATATTAAAATAATGATAGCGTGGACGTACCACGTCAACTAAGGACCAGAATCACTCAAGAGTGAACATAGTGGAACAGATTGGAGCAGACCTTTGCTAGGAATCAAGCAGATAACCAAGAACTATTAAATATAGTGTGAATAGCAAAAAAATACATCTGAATAAAGGGCTCTTATTAATATTACAAAAGCGAAAGTTTGTGACTATGAATGTATGTTTTATACTATTTCACGCAAAAACTACTGAACGAATTTCGATGACACTTTGCAGTAACATAGCTTATACATCAGAATAATAAACAGACTATAAATTACACGCAGGTGAAACCGCGGGCACAGCTAGTATAAAATATAAATGTATGTCCACGTCTCCACGATCATATTCCCTGATGGAGTTAGTGAGAAATATTTTCAGTTGTCAACGTCATGGTGATTGCAACGTTTGACATGCTCACATTGCATTGAATATATTTGAATCCACTGAATATTTGTATATCAAGGCTAAAATCAAATATGGTAAAAATGTGCATATTTAAAAAAAAATGTATACTGCTTGCAACATTCCTTGCGATAACATTGACTATGATGTTTGAATTTTTGTGCTTGCGTATACTTAGCACGAATTTTCACTCCTTCATACCATATAGGTATGAATATTTATTTATAAAAAGTTAGGAAAATTTCTTATATATTCAGTTACTGCATTATATATTCCTGCATTGGTTGGTGTAATCTTAATTTTTAGAATATGGAAAGGCAGGAAAAATGTATAATTATTCAAAAGTGCTTGTATTGAGTTTATAAAGATTATTTCTATTTTTGTTTTAAAAGTTTTCTAGGAACATATACATAATTTTCAGGTCGACTAAGCATTATTTTATTTTCAATCAAAATTTTCAACCATTAATTTAAATTTGACCTATATTCCACTATTAATATTACTATATCAATGCGGTTACGTCAAATGAATTCATCATCACTGTGTATAATTGCATACCATTAATCTCTTTGAAGCATACTTACATTAATTTGTTACCAAATGGACTCAATATTTAAGGGCCATCCATAAATTACTATATTAATAGAGAAATCAGAATAAAAGAAACCTTCCTAGCTCCTAGAAGGGGCCTTAGATTATGTGACATTTAAATTTTATTATTGAAACGCAATATTTTATGATTAAATGTGATAAGCTGTAAGAGGGGTTAACAGGGGTGGTAAAATACAATTATTATTATGTTTCCTTTCTTTTCTCTTCTGTTACCTGGTTCAAAAGAAGGTAATACTTACCCACACGACCTTCACCAACTGTGGGAGTGGTTGCGCTATGTGAAGGTCTTATTATAGAGGAAGTCAGAAATATTCTAGTAATTCGCCAGGTATTCACTATTGTGGCTATTTGTAAGAGATATGTTTTACTAGGATAAATATTTAGTGTTTGCGAACTATTTTTAAGTGTTTTGGGTACAATACCCGTAGAAAAAAGTAGGCACAATTATTGCAAAATCCTGGTATTTTAAAACTTTATCTGAGATAGTAGTTTGTATGTTATGTGTATTATTATGCTCATTATACGATTATTACATAGAAATGTGCCACCTGACCTAGTATAGAATTATACACTACTAGCTGTCCCGGCAAACGTTGTTTTACCTTAAAAAAAAAAAATTAGGGTGGACTACCCCCCTAAATGTTAGGGTATTTAGGGGGATGAAAAATATATGTTGGCCGATTCTCAGACCTACTCAATACGCTCACAAAATTTCATGAGAATCGGTCAAGCCGTTTCGGAGGAGTATGGGGACGAAAACTGTGACACGAGAATTTTATATAGGTATAAGATTACTACACTATTACAGTTTTCAAAATGGTTTATAGGTGACCCTTTATACGATGTGCCTCCAATTTGACTATAATTGGAAACAAAATTATTTACATTGAAACTCATTTAATAGGAATCGGATATGGAATTGTTCGTTTGAGGACTTCATTGGTAAAACATTTTCATATATAATATTATTTACATATTTACAATTAATTTAAAATGAGTTTAAATACTTTTGTAGATTTTTATTTATATTATATCGTATACGTTATATCACTATGCTCAGATTAGAACTAGAAGGAGCTGTATTTCAACGTTCGGATATATGATTTTACAATCCGCTACCCAGATTCACAGTTCTGTAGTAAAACTTTATTCTTGTATTCTTGTGAATGAAATCTTATTTAACTTCAAATAAGATTTCTTTGTTAGAATTTACATATCTGTGCCACGTGAATGTTTGTTCATATTTTATTTATACTATTCTTTGGCAAACAGACGGATAGAAGAAATATTGTACTATTATGTACTTACTTGAATGAAAATCCTATCTTTCGAACATTTTTACTATGCATTGTGGGATATTTTCAACAGAATTTAATTAGAAGGAATATACTTAATACAATATATCACAAATTATAAAAGTATATTCAATTTTACGACAAAAATAATTAGCTACTAATAATTGTAAGTTGTTGCAGTAAATCAAAGAAGCAGCGGAAGTAATTCGATGAATGGCAAAAATAATGTGTGTTTGTTTTAGATAACATATCGAATTACTTATACACAACACATACATTATGCAACACAAAAAATCGTTTCTGAATCAAATTAATTAACACAGGAACAATATGTGTCCATATATACAATATATAATATTGTACAAACTGCAAAGGTAACTATCGTTTTATATTTATAGAAAAATAATACAACTAATCAGGTAGGGTGAAAAATGATATACCGTCAAAAATGTTAATTCTGTCAATCAATTGGTGACTAAAGTAGTAATACATTTATTTACTTGCAAACGTAATTGGCTTGTTAGCGCAGTTGTAGATGCTACGCCTTGCGTTAATAAGTTTGTGGGTTCGTTTCTCAATCAATTAAGGGTAGCATTAGGTCAACCCGGGGGATTGGAGCAGAATTTGTCTCAAATCCCCCTGGATGGACTTTATGTTCCTAACTTGTTTTTATATTTTTTTTTTTGTAGGAAATCATTCAAATATATAAAATACTTCTTTTAAATAATTAATTAATTTGTATAATTAACACATACTTGATATAATTAATATTATTAATAATTACATATATCATCTGATCATTCATTTGTCCAATTTGTATAGTTTTAAATAAAAAAAAACGATCGTAAGTCTTTGTCATGAAAAATGAAGTAAATATATCAATTATTTATCTTCATATTTATGTATCTGTAATAGAAACAACAACAGTTTTTAAGGTACGGCAAATATTAAAAAAAATGTAAAAGATTAATTAAAAATATGTATAGTTACACTAAGGATTCAATCACAACGTTTACAAAATAAAAAAAAATAACATAAACTATAATAAAAATAAAAAAATACACATTTTGAAAAAAAATTTTTTTTTGCACTCATGACGTAGCGAACCACGACAATATTTTCCTTACCTGGAAGATTCGGAATTGTAACGACCTAATCATCCAAGCAGGGAAATAAAGTGAAGTAGCTAATTTTAGATCCTATTGCATTCTATACAGTTCCACTGCAGTGACAGCCACAAACGCACGTCTGCTCGATAATTAACCTCTCATAACTCTAAGTAGTCTGATTTAAATAAATATTTTTTTAATAAATAGTGTTAGAGTCCTCCTTTAAGTTAATGGTATGTGAATTTGACAAAAATACACAACTTATAGTAAAACCTACAATAAATAAAAATGAATTGATCTATAGATTCTTCACCGATTATCTCTGTTATTACTACAGACGTAATTATTTTTAAATTAGCACGGAGTTAATAAAATAGTTTAATAGTTTAAAAGACCTATTATTGGGATATATATTGGGATTCATAAATTTAAATCTTAGCTTTTGTGATAATAATCAAATATTATCATATGTGTTTTATCGAGGTAACAGTAAATTTTGCGTGTTTTATTAACCTTTTGACATAAAAATACTAAATATGTATATTTAGTATTTTAACACATATATTTTTAATTAGTATACATATTTATTGGTATTCTTGAGTGATTAATAAGATTTCACATAGATTTGATCATTATTGTAGTATTTATGTTTATGTTAATTTTTGTGTCCTACCAGTTCTATATACCTATTACAGTTTTACATGACTTCCGTAAACCATACTAATATAATATTAGAAATACAAAAGCATATCAGTCTGTCTGTCTGTTTCTTATTTATGTATTTATAATAATAATAAATACATTGATAAAGTAAGTAATATTTATTGTTAGTCCAAACAAAAAAATTACGATTACTGTTGTTTTCCTTAATTTTATCTTGTGTAACTACTAGAAACAGTTTTTAGCAATTGTTCTATTTTCATAAAAAATTAGCTGGTTATATCTTTTTAAGGATAAAAAAATTTTCACTTTTACTAAATATACAATAATTAATCTGTGTAATTAATTAATTAATATTAATAAACAATTTTGATTGTCAGTGGACTTAATTATAACTGTATCGTACTTATGCTTTTTTAGAGTTCTTTTGTTCAGTAATTGACAATAAATGCTAACTATTTAAAGGGCGTTGTATATTTTAGAAACAAGTTATTTAATATATAGTAACTAAAACACAATTAGGATAATAATACCATACCATCATTACCATATTGTTATTATATAATATATCTAATAATATAAACCCGAAAGCTTGTGAGTATGGATGGATGTTTGTTACTCTTTCACCAAAGAACTACTGGATGAATTTTGTTGAAACTTTACAGTAATGTATCTTATACATAGGCTATAAATTTCACACGGGTGAAACCGCGGGCTCAGCTGGTACCTAATATTATGATTAAGACGGTAATAAAGTTAGAAAAAAAGCTTAGATGTAAATTAACTTACCTGTCGTCTTCTAATTCATAAAACATGTCCTTCGATGAATCATGGATGTATATCTTGACCATAGGACTGTCCATGTACTGCATGGTCAGTTGTTTGGGAAAACTTCTTACAAATAACGCCTTCACTGTATCTATGGATGTTATTTCGTTCGGCAGCAATGCTCGTTTCGTTTCGTTTCGGTACTGAAGAAATACGAGTCCTGTATAACAAAGATGTATCATATTATAGCCATCAAATATTATATATAGGGTGGATCGTTAGTAATGTGGACCATACGGTTCCTCCAGGAAACCATCGTGATAAATTATTGGTGAATTTGTCACGACTGTCTAACTGACCTGATGTCATGTTCATCTTATCATCCTCCACTAGTGGCCTGTCAGCGTAAACTGAACTGAAAGCCCAGGCGGGAGCAAGATTATTATACCTTATAAAACATATATAGTGTTTTATAAGGGATAATAATATAAGAAATTTTTAATAATAGACTAGTCAAATCATTGATATAAATATAGACCATTAGATCTTCCACGCAACTCCACTGGTGAATTCATCACGATGAGCAAACATAATCAGTAATCTTCACCTAACATCCCGTTATCATATCCCATAAGACAACAAAATTAACACATCCATTATAAAAATGTATAGTAAAAAGCCAATGCAAACCTATGTACTCATGTGAAAATATCGAAAAATAAGGCATATTTCTAAACAGTAACTCATTTATGACACAAAACTATCTAGTATAGGTATAAAAATACCAAAATTCCTGTTGCACTAAAATACCTCTAATGTTGTTAATTACAACCCTTTATACGTTTATGAACATAAATGTTGTCTACGAACTGCCAATGAAATTTAGTCCCACCCAATTAAGTGACCGCTTAATTTAAGGCCAAAAATTAATACTAAAAGTGCAGTTGCGAAATTTATTGAAATCCCTATTACCGTGCAGAAATTATATTAAAATGGATGGCGAAAGTACAAACGACACAATGCCATAGGTAACTTTGTTATAGGAAAACTTTATTATATTTTCACTGGATCACGCCCCTTCATTTTGTAACAATTGATAGCTGAAAGGCCTGAAAGGTTCTTAATTGGTCATAAAATAAATAAAGTTACAACGGGATTTTCAGAGTAAAAGTACATTCGAGAATCATCTATGCTTGTTAAGCGGCTATTTAATAATAATAATAATCTCAGGACAATTTACACAGCGCCATCTAGACCCAAATTAAGCTAGCTAAAGCTTGTGTTATGGGTACTAGATAACTGATATAAATACATAGATACATTTTTTTTCGTAAATACCCAAACCGACACAAACAATCATACTCAGGAATACAAATGTTTGTGCCGTGCGAGGAATCGAACCCGCGACCATCGGAAGTAAGGCGGTGTGCTAAACCGCTAGACCACCGAGGCCGTCAATTATTTAAATTTTACTGTTTACGGTTTGCGAAATATTTTATTTGTATTGGTTGCACATCATTACCCTGCTATTGTAAAATTCTATTGTTAAAAAATGCCAGATCAAAAAACATTTTTGTTGATGTTGTTTGTCGTCAAATGAAAACAAACAGTACTAGAGTGAATTGAGAGTGGAACAGAACTCGTTTGTTATATGTTGTTAGATCAATGGCCGAGGGACGGTATCGAGAAAAGTAGCATAGTACCTTGGTGGGTTGTTTACTAGCATAAACTGTTGGAGGGTGAGTATATAGGGCGGAGGGAGGTAGAAGCCTTTTACTAACGAAACTTGTTTTAACGTATTATCAGCTTTAGTGCAAATTTATAATATAATGAAAGGTCGGCAAAGCGCACGTGACACCCCTGGTATTTAAGGCGTCCATAGGCTACGGTAATCGTTTACCATCAGATGGGCCGTATGCTTGTTTGCTACATTATATAGTATAAAAAAATAACGTTCTGCTTACTCATCTATATAAAAGTAGCTATGAGATGGCAAACAAACTCTATCGTCCAGCAGACATTATTATACAATAAACAACTATAAAAGCGAGGAAGTCATAGAAAACCACATTTATTAAATTTTAAATTAAAATATTTTCAAAAGCTGGAGACTGACTATTAAAATAAATCTATTGAAATGTACAGGTAAAATTTTAGTTTCTGACAATTCCCATTTGGTTTCTTTGAGATTAATAGGTATTTAACTTTTGTACAACATTCTTTAGATTGGTACAATTAAATTTGCTATATCCCAACACGATTTCATTTAACCGTAAATGAAAATATTTACCGAAAATTAATGAGAATTGAGTTTTAGATAGCATATTTTTTCCAATATACCGTATTGAATTTGTTGCGGCATATTTCTTTTTCAAATGACAGGTTAAAAATTAAAATAGGTGTACTAATTTTCATTCCGAAGATATCATAAGTGTAATGAATGATGGTGAAAAATATGAAGAGGGCTTAAAAAAATCCAAAGTATCTAGTTGTCTAACAAGCACAGAAATAAAGTAAAATATATTTCAGTAAACTTTTACTATTAAAGCATTGTAAATACAAAATTTATATTTGTAAACTGTTGCATACGCCAAATTACTACGGCTGTGAACATCAATAACCTGTTAACGTGATGAAAATATTGGCTATTTTGATTGGATTTATAATGAATCAATATAAACGTGTGAAAATGGACACGACTTGCTGAAACGTTAGCAATGTCATATTAGCCCTGTCATGCTTTATTAATGGACATAAGTTTTATAAAACTAAAAAAGAATTGTTGGATTTGAAAGGATTTATTTAAGGTTTCTTAGTTAGTTTTGGGAAAAGACTATTTTTTTTATTAGAAAATACTCATATTTGTAAGCATAATATTTGGGAATAATTAATTATTTGACTTGTTAAATCTATTTATATGTAAATACCCACCTAACCCGAATGTGCAAGTGACGGACGAGTTACTTACGGTCAATGACGTCATAACATCGGGTTCACAAAAATAAACCACAATTTGAAGGGTGATGGCAACCGTCGATGCATTTAAAAACAGCTCTCGCATACAGACGAAAATATCTAACGATTTCTTATTTAAGCCGCAACGGTATCAGGGTTGACACCGTACTCAATAAAAATTAAGTTAAAAAATAACTAATGACACCAGAAAATATATATTCATTCATTCATATTTATCCATAATAGATAGATATGATCGCATATCATCTTCTGTGGACTGACCATATGGTGTCCTCTAGTGCCTTTAATGTGATAAACTTTGCACTAAAAGTTACGATCACTAGAAAGTATTGTATTTTTTTAGATACAGGCTACTAGCTAGAGTTTTGAAAAGGTTAAGAAAGCCATTAAATATTCTTACCAGTTTTTCTGAATCATTGAATCTATAGACTGTAGTGAACGGTAGGCAGAAATATTAATACCAAAAATTTATAAGCGACTAAAATGTCCTATACGAATAAATATTTGTTCATTTGATTTGATGTTTTATTTCAATATCTACTTGCAATTTGCAAACATAATTTAAATAAAAACAACATGAGACAAAATTTTGCTTGTGTACTAACAAGACAAAGTTATTCAAAATTAGAACACATTTTAGAAATGGAAAACCTCGTCGACGTCGATAAGGTCATTCATTATAATTTTTACACTGTCACCTATACTTATTTATCTTTACTTTAATTAGTATTTATATTTCATTAAATTACAAATAAATATTGTCATCATATATGGTATGTTCACTTACCCAAAGGTCTTTCGAGAGTTTTACTCGGTGTCCGCACTACCGGTAGCGACGATCTCTGTTTTCCGCCACGACGGAACCCCGTAGATGCAGTTTCCACCTCCGACATAATGCCTGGGTCATCATCGAACAGCATGGCGTTTGTTGGAGGCGGATATCCCCGAGGCAAGGGTGGCTGTGAAAGAAGAACATCGTAAGTCTTCAGTTACGTATACAAGGGCTCGGCATAGTTATTATGTAATTGGTATAAGAAACTAGTTAACGACCTTCCTGATGGTCAGCGGTTATCCTCTCCTATATACACAACACAGTATGACTAAGATGTCATGCCTTCGTACCCTGTAATTTCATTGCTATATCTTACAGTTCAACAGAGGTACATACTATAAGCTGCGCAGAAATATACGGTATCTACGTAGAAGACTGCACATCGACTGTGTGCAAAAAAGTAAGGTAAAAGTAAAGTACTGACTAACTCAATAATATTGGTATGTCGTAATGAGATTTTTGCGATACTTTGTGGGAAGTCTACATTTAATGGTGCAAACCTACTATGTAATCGAACCGGTGGTAAATTTTAAATATGCGTAAAATAAAATCACTTTTTGAAGTGTCATCATTTATTGCAAAATTAAATCTTTGGAGCATAATCCATCTTTGAGATCTAATATCATCTAATATCCCAACAACATATAAAATAGATGTATGAAATCAAAGTACAGCAACTTTCTATAAACAATGTAATCCCTCGACTCAAAAGAAGCTTCATGTGTGAAGATAATCAGTTTAGAAAATTTCCAGCGCAGATAGTTTCATATAATTTCATATAAAAATTAGTTGTAAATTCATACTCGTATAAGTTATAGAATAGTAGACGAACCGAGTTTAAAATTTTAAAAAATGTACACGTCATTAAATTGACAAATCGTTTTTTAGAATATTTATTTGTCTAAGCGTTTAGCACGCTATCATTGAACGATTTGAAAGCTATAGATTCATATTCCATTACAAACTAAAATGTTTTAGCCGAATATGAATTGAATATGAACTGAAGATACGAGCCAAGCTAATGTGTAATATTAAATTTAAGGCCAGAAGCCACGTAGCTAATAAGGTTCGTCTAATCCTTAGATTGATGCTACGTATGATCTAATCTGTCCTCGGTCTAATAACTCCTCGGTCTAATAAATCTCAGGTCGGATCTTATAAACTTACCTACTCTGTGGTTAGTTAATTCTCCTTATATTGTCGTATACTATTGTCAAAATGAAATTGAGGTGACCAAAAAGTTTAGGTATAACTTATTATATATTAGTTCATTTCATCAGTTTACACGCTCTAATTGGTGACGTCATTGTTTATTTTATGATCGTTTTTTTTAGATATTTAATTACTCAGTCCACTGAAAATCACTGAAAATGTAGTACTCCGCTGCAGCAACCGTTGAGTGAAACTTTTCAGCGTATAGCGTAAAATTAGCTTTTTAGTATTTTTTTTTATTCTACAGTAAGTTAAGTATATATGTAAGTTAAATAAATAGAAATTCATATTATTATAAAATCTACATTTCATTAATAATCCTTTTACCGGAACATAAATTTAATTTAGAAATCTATTAATAAACTGCAGTTTACATAAACAATTTATACTGCTCTGTTTATGAATTTAATAATTTCTACATGTCAAATAATTTTGCATGTAGTAATAATTAAATTTACGTTGTGACTTCACGCTGGGGAAGGGTATTTAATTATAGGTAACTAAACCTACTACTATTAAACTTTTCCTATGCGCGAGTATATAAGCGTACGTACTAAACTTTTATCACACGAAACATAAATGACCTATCATATTAGCATTAGTTGTTATAAAAATTAATAGCGAGCTGCTTAAAAGAAACGGATTCATTATACTTTTAAATCTAAAACGCTGGACACTTATTAATATTTCATTTACCTACAATCTGAAATGAACCCAATATGCAAATTTCTGGTATATAATATAATATAAAATCTTTATCATATGAAATAATCTAATTTAACATTGTAACGACGTTTTCAATTTATACCTCATTCAAATATATGTACCTATATGTTAAAGTATTAATATATCTTAGAATAAACTTCCTAAATAAAAAGTTATGTATAATACATAAGTCGCAAAATACATTATTTTATTTATTTATTAAAATTTTTCACGCACAAATACACAAATAAGTAGCATATTGCGGACTTAACACCTTATGTATTATGTCACTGGTATGATAACTATGTCATTATAATGGTTGAAGGATAAAATTATATTTAACATTCAGGTTTGGATTAATAGCAAAATGATATCCTACCGTATATATAATTGGCAGAAATACGGATACAAGCACACTACAGATATTTGCACCCAAAATGTATTTCTCGTTCAACATACCGAGTTTTTGATTAAGCCAAGCAACAGGCTATCCCAGATACCATTCTAGGTATAATTGGCAGAAATATGGATACCCACAGGTCTGCGTCCTACCGATGTTCATTCGGAAATTGTATTTCTCGTTGCCATTGCTCAGTAATAATAACGCATGAGAGATACAACGGTTGTTATAGCAAGCAAATATTCTGTGATCCGTGCTATTCAAGCTTGTATATAGATTACTAATGCCAATTAAAATTGATGTAATTGTTGGAAATGTTTGTTGATTATAGTGAATAATTAATAAATATATTATATAATTTTAAACGTTGTAACCTGTGAATTTAAAAATTCTAAGGGAGTTTATTACAAGCTAGAATAAGTTAAGCCTGAGTTGTGGACGTCACCTAGTGAGTACTGTACAAACTAAAGTTACCTATTAAAACAAATCTTGAACAAGAACTGAAATTGGTTTAAAGTTATAAGTACAATGTCTATCAAACGTCACTTACTTTTTAATGAAACTTCAAAACTCCAACTAATGTTTTCTCCACCGTGATACAGCCTACTAACGATTTTTATTAAAGTGTTATCGGCATTCTATCTCTTTTTTATATAATTGCCTAGAATTAAACTCACATTCACATTATTAAATTTTCATTTTAGTGAGACTAATTCGAATTAATAACAACTAGTCCACAGCGCTCTTATGATAAGACGTATTACAGAAATAGAACATTTCATTCAACTAAAGCAACCTGCGCGTGCTGGTTTTAACAGTTTTTGGATTAGTGGCCAGGGTTTTAGAACTAAGCAGAAAGTAACTACACCAGTACTTTATACTAAACATCCTTAGTTTGAAAAGCCTTTACTTAAGAGGATTACAGTACCGTAATTAAGTAATTCTAATCCTGAGGGATACATGAATACCTATATAATAAATAATGGTATATTTTTTCATCACGCGGAAACTTTATCGGTAATATAAGACAGAGCAATACATATAGGAAAAATATTAAGCAATTCAGAAGCATTGATTATTTAAAAAATAAACCATTTCATACTTTGTAAGAGTTGTATTACTTTTAGGAATTGAATATTCATGTTTTATTTTGAATAGTGAATATAAAATAAGCTGTGAAAGTAAAATGAATCGTGGAAAAGTGTAACATGAAATATCCGTAAAAATCTGTCAAAGGCAAAACTAGTCATTTCCTTTTCAATATACGCTCATTTCCTTCGACTTTTAGATTTTAGAGCATAAAATATACTAAGTTTACGTGAAATATGTTGCTCAGGAAATGTTATAAAATGTGACAGGAAATCGGAAGAGAAATACGAATTACCCCTATCGGAACGAGCCCTCAAAGGAATTTGAAGCACGTGCATACGTCAGCCGATTTATAAAAGTGGATGAGGGCAAAGATGTGAGTTCGTCGGAACAGCCACTACTTTTGAAACTTCATGTTGATTCTTAGTTGTTCTCTGATATATGCTTTATATGCATAGCGGGCCCGGCAAACCGCGTCCTGTCCGGAATAGTAGCGCCACCTATCAGATCCAATCGTTGTATCGTTTCTATAATAAATTACCAAAACATAAAATGGAAATCACAAAAAAAAAATTAAAAAAGTGTATAAAATAAACAATGCTCGAGTTAAGTCCCCAGCTTTTTTCTTATCCTACAATAGTGGCAAACAAGCATACGGCTCATCTGTTGCCGTAGCCTAATTTAGTTTTAGCAGTCTGCCCAGCAAGAAACTTTTATCGAATTACTTGGGTCTTGTTCCCGGGTTGACGTCGAAGCAAAGGGATACGTCCTGAGGCCCCAACCTTCACCCCCCTATAGAGAGTAGAGATCATCTGTGTCGTGTCCCATATTGAAATAGACAAATACAAAATATACCTAGAAAACACCCAGACCGAGATAAACAATAATACTCAAGAATACAAAAAATTTGCACCGTGCGAATCGAACCCACGAAAATCGTAAGAAAAGCAGTGTGTTAAATCGCTAGACCACCGAGGCCATCGCGTTACCGTGTCACCTCATGGCAAGTCGTAACCGTCATAAACATAAACAGCGCCACCAATATTGCGTTATCTTATGATGTCCTTGATAGAACTTTTACGTTACCATTCCTTAGAACTAGGAACATGAACTTATTAATGAGAACTTCTTCAACGACGAGCTCTGTTAGCGTCTTGACTTGAAACTCTTGTAAGTTTCGTTGGAATCATTTATAAAACTTTATTATATATACCCTACTCCTGTCTCCTTTAAAGTTCTGAACTTGTTGAAACAAAATATGTTGGAGATACGCCTGAAGACGCTTTTGTACCTACAACTAGACGAGAACATGCACAGCGCATAAATTATTTTTAATACTCATATTTTAACCTTAATTAGTGTTGTAAAATATGTAGTAAAATTATTTATAAAGGGATTAATGGTATTAAGGTTTTAATGGTATTAGTATAAACAAGAATTTAAGCACTATGCTCAGTCCTGTAGCGAACCACGGTAATATTTTCCTTATCTAGAAAATTCGGTACTATGTCGCCTCAATCCACTAGGTAAACAATTGTAACAACTATAGGATATTACAGTGTACTATAGGTTTGTTACCGAGGCAACCATTAAACGCGACCCCAAACGCGAACGGACGTGTCCAGATGGATCACCACTCATAACTATTTACTAAATAGTCCTACATTAATATATATATATATAGTATATGATATTATGTACTGTAGTGTGTATATCTTATTAATATTTTATATTATTATTGTGTTATATTTAATATGAGGTAATGAAGTTACAAAAGATTGACCCTATTACACATATGTATTACTAGATATAACTGCATTATATGTAGGTATATAAAGCAATTTGTAGAATCCCATAATAGTCATGTTAACGGCCTGACTAGACGCTAAGTAAGTTTTGTTTGAATCATTTATAGAACTTTATTACACACAACCTACTTATACTACAGTCTCCTTTGGAGTTCTGAACACCAAAGTATGTTGGAAACACGACTGAAGGACGCTTTTGAACGACTTCATGTGAACACGCAAAGCACATCTCAAGCAAACAATTTCCAAATATATTTTATATATTTTTCTGAAAAACAATCATTTGCATACTTCAGGAATATTAGAAACTTCTTTTTTATTCATTCGTATATATTTATATCCTTTAAAAGATGAAAATTAATTTTTAGTCAACCAAAATAAAATATTGGTAGTATTAATGTATGTACTTTCATATTGCATATCCAATTTAATCAATGAAATTCAACTGTCAGTAATAAATTTAAAATATGAGACATTGGAAAAATCGCAAAATCATAAATATATATAGAATTAGTGAATGCTCAAACTGTCAAACACGCAAAAATCTATCTCAATTATAGATATATATCTGATTTTTTTATTGTCTTAAATTTTGTTAGTCTTTTGTTCTTTAAAACCTTTTTAAAGTCTTATAAACTACTAAAAAGATGAATGCAATCTCTTAAGCCGGATCCAGGAAAACGGATTTATATATTTACTAGCTGTGCCAGCAAATGCTGTTTTCCCATATAAATTAAAATCGGTATTAAAAAGATGCTAGAAGGGTGAGATTTTGAGATTGTATGAATTTTTTAATATAAATAAAATAAATTTGTCCAAATAATTATAAAATAAATGTTAGAGGTGGACCCTCATCACTTAGGGGTATAAAAATAGTCAGCCGATTCTCAGAAATATGCAAATAAAATTTCGGAGGATTATGGTAACTTACATTGTGACACGAGAATTTTTATATACGAGACTACATATATACACGTACATGAAATAGTGTTAGTTATTGTTTTAAATATCCATTATAAACGCGATTTCGTCGTATTTCGTATTCACTATTAAATACTAATTCAGCCGATAAATCCGTGTTACCAAATATATAGTCATTATACGAGAAGTACCGAACACAATTTTCGGAGCTAATATTCACAGGAAGGATTTCAATACAAATTCAGAATTTAATTATAAATTGGTTATATTGTAATATTTGCCGCGTGTTACTATACAATAGGATATTTTTTGTTTGATGAAATTTAACTATGATACAAAAATTTTCGTCCGGCATTTTTAATATTATTGTACAATAAATTTCTACTAATCATATAAGTCAGAAAATGTGTCTATACGTTTTGGTATATTTACATGTAATGTTAATGGTAAGGTTGAAATGGATCTTAACGAAATTTTATGTGAAAATTGATTATACCTATTACGTCGAATGGTATATGGTTATGTTTTACAAAAAATGCAAACTAATCGTCAGAAAACTTAAGTAGTAGGTACTTATATGCAAAATGATTAAAAGTCAATTACGTATATTAAAGTTACTACATAACTAGCAACTTATTTCGATTATATGCATTTATGCAAATGGTATAAATTTCCCGTAACCACTAATAATGATAATAATAATAAATCTTATCAAAATTCAAAGCATGGTTTAGACGAATTAAGCATTTAGACAGCTATAGAGCTTATAGACAGTCGAAAACAGCGATTTGCTGTATATTAATATACAATATATGTGCAAATTTATATTATATAGATATACAACTGTATACAAAAATTCCCAGATGTAAGAGAGTTAAATGAATTGATATTATTATAATTAGATTGCAACACTCTGAAGAAACACTGAAAGTAAACATGGCCCGATTTAATTTAATATGTGATCGGGTATTATGAACCATTTGGTCCCTAAACGCTGGGTCTGATCTGCTCTATCAGAATACCACATAAACAACTATATAGATACATACATAAAGACGACATGATTACTATAAAAAACTTGGTATTTTTTGTTACTTTTTTTACTTAGCAGGAGATTGTTTATTTAATAGTGCTCAAAGTTAGTGTTTGATATAGAAAGAATAGTTTAAGACTATGAATTTTGTAATCTTCAATGAAAATTCTAATTGCTTAGTATTCATTGTAATTCTTGTTTCATGTCTATAGTGTTCGTGCTTGGTTCCTAACATTCCAAGAACTACAAAAACGTTGTTCATGTCTTTCCTTTTTAAGAAAAACCTAATCTTAGTACCTATCTTAAAGTTTATTTAAATTGACAATAAAAGTTTTCTTCTTTTCATTCATCTCATTTTTTATCATTTGAACAAAATGCAATAGTAAATATATGTATTTTAGATAAATTTAATTTCAAGCACTTTCGAATAGACTTTTTTGTATTCTACCGCTCATTCTCAGAATGTAGATTCATCAGCAAGAAACTTGTCGGTTTAGTCAGAAATATTAAACACTAGCTGTGCCCGCGATTTCACCCGCATGATATTTATATCGTATGTGTTATTCTGATATATAAGCTATATTGCAGTAAAGTTTCAACAAAATCCGTTGAGCAGTTTATGCGTGAAAAAGTGACAAACATCCATCCATCTATACTCACAAAATTTCGAGTTTATAATATTAGTAAGATTTAGTTCGTTTAGTAACTTAAAATACTGAATAAGATTAGTAACAAAATAAATCATGAATGATTTATTTTGTTGGTAGTAATCTTATTATTAGTAGGTATTGCTAGTAATCTGAGCACACCAGTCCCTACATGCAGCAATCGGTTACGATGATGAACGAAGGTATAAATATAATATATTAGTATAAGCCGTTGAGTTAATGAATGAGAATGAGTTGTAAGGCGTCTTTTGTTATTTGCAAATGTTAATTTAATATCTTACAACGCAACATTAATTTGACAAGCATTACAAAGCACATACATTTTTCGAGAATATTAATGATTTGATTCCAGAGATCCCTATATGCATGATCTCATACCTTTCTTGACCGTGGGTCTAATATTCGTATGTGCTTCGATTCCCTGTATTTTGTAACGACAGCGTATTCTGGTATGTTCGTTGGTCGCTGGACCGCACCATTTTGCTGAAGATAAACAGAAGAATAAAATAAACAAAATTAAAATAAAATAAAAACAACAAATATTCGTTTGTAATTGCGGATTCATTATGTATATTATGTACTTATATAAATTATAGATAAAAGTAATTAATGAAATATAAAATAAGAATATTATATGCTTGAATAAAAATCAGCAACAGACATCTTAAATTATTGTTCAAGTTATTGGATCTCGGTTTTGTCGTGTAACGTAATTGTTTAGACAGATTTGGTTCCATAATTTTTGCGTGGGTAGTAAATGTGTAAACACCGAGGAATATATACATATATAATATGTACATAATGTTATCAATAAGACTGGATATTGTGATGAAGGATAACATTAGAGAATTAACCAGCGTTACATATCGCACATCAAGTAAAATACTGAATAAATTCAAAATATACAAATTTTGGAAAAACCACTATAAAGCGTTGATTTTTAAGACTAGTTTAAAAAACTTGATTCCTTAGTTATTTCAATATTGTACTAGGTGTACGAGAACATAATAGTTATTAGTTATATTCTTATTATAATATATCGCATACCTATTATATATCACACTATCTTTGTCTATACATGGAACATATTATATGAGCAAAACTATTATATGTTGAGGACTTAATAGAAAATAGTCTAATGAAAGGTAAAACAGAGAAAAAATCTAACACCCGTATTATTGGAACTTTTCTCTGATTGTCTGTAACATATATTTTTTCAAATGTATTTTTGTACTTAAAAATTAGTTCCTATTTAAATCAATAATCAAATAAGTTTACAAAGAAGCAGTTGTAAACTATTATTACCTATACCAAATACCACAGATTCGAAGATAAACAGAATTAGGCATTTCTAACTAAAATATAGAAGATATAATAAATAAAAAACATCAAATGTTGCCTTGGATAACATGTAAAACGCATAAGCGAGTGTATGTCTAAGCGTTTATTTTTATAAAAAAACTAACTAAACTAGCGTATACAAAGTTTGACAGGCCGCTTTGAGCATTTTCGCCTGCATCCTCTATTTTCAAGTAGTTTCTCCTGAAAATTTTCACAGTGACGGCAGATACGAGCTCTTTATGTAGCACCTGTCAAAAATGTTATTTTTCTTGACTAAGCCGTTATAGGACGTTATTCTATGTTCTCGTGTTTGAAATACTTTATCAAAGTGCAGACATTTTGGCAGTAATTCGGTCATAAAGTTGATTTTAAGTTGTACGTTAGTAATACGTATTAGGGACTAGTGACCTCATTATTAGTAATATATCAGACCAAACTTCACGTGGTCACTCTGACAGCCAATATAATTAAATACCATGCATTCACGATGACGAGCACCATAATTTAATATATAAAATTCTCGTTAAATTACTCTTCTCCGTATGTATATTCAGTAGGTCTGACAATAGGTTTAGAACTAATTTTTATACTCCTAAGTGTTAAGGGTGGCTCATCACAATTGTATTTTTCATATTTTTGACAATCGTTTTTATTTTTTTATTATGTGACATTAAAAATACATACAACCCTAATTTTTCACCCTTTATAAAGTAATGGTGACTATTGGATTAATACTTCGTTATAATTAATCTACTCAGTTAAGCTAATTACTTCCTAGAACCTCCGGGAACAATGGTCGAGTCTTCATGAATTTGCCACGATCTAATTGACCTGATTTTACAGTGCCATTTTTTTCGCACGTCAAGACAGCATATCGTTTGCTAAGCACGTTTAATATTCTATCACCCTCCATAAAATATATGGCGAAAATCCCCACAGAGTATTTAAGGAAACCACGTATAAATAAAGTACATAAAATTCTGTTTGGAAACCTTTCAAGATACAGCGTAAATATAAATAAAGAAAATAAAACTGTTTGGGGAAGCCTCACAAATTTTAGATATTTTAAATAAAGAATCGTTGTAGATTACTACTTACTTTACAAAATGAAACGAATTTGTTATTGAATTTATTGAGGCGTATTTTTATTTATTCCTCATTTTCGGGAAATATTTTTTGTAAAAAGCACTCTAAGTAGAAAGAGGGAAGTGCAAACTGGTGATTGGTTTATGCATTCGTTTGGCAGCCGTCGGCGTTAAGCGGATTATGTCGAAGTTTGCACTAGATTATGCACTTCAGACTAAAGTACATCAACGGATGCAAAGCTACTAAGTTTGCAGTGAATAAAATGATATGGTATACTATTCTTGGTGTTATGATAGTACAAATAAACCTTAAATATCGTGAGTTTGTTTGTTACGCTTTCACGCTTATACTGCTGAAGTCTTTTTGATTTTTTGTATAAGATATATTATACAATGTATTAATGATGCATGTACCCAGAAGAGGATAACGGACTCATTCTTCTCGTGAATATAAAAATTAAATGGGGTGAAATAGAGATGAACATTATTTGGGGGACTAATCATTTATCGAGTTAAGGAAATAAAACTCATCATAATCTGAAAAGATTTACCCGAAGTACAGAGTAAGTATAGTTTTATGCTAAAAATCTTGCGGGTATCAGCTAGTAAACAATAAAATTAAAAAAAAACACACACACATTTAGAAAGCAATTTGTATATTTAGAAAATTATTTTCAAACAATCAATAATTTATTAAAATTTTGCCCTTTCAAATTGGGTATTTGTATCAACAAGTAATCTTTTTCCTTTATAACATTTGTGTTATAAACACAAACATAAGATTTTATATAATCACATGGGCAATTAAGTGTATGAACTGCTTGACGGTATGTAATTATGAAGAACTTGGTAGCAAGAAAATGTACGCGCTAATGAATTTATGTGTATCTCTGAAAAATTAAACACTTAATTCCTTTTAACACCTTGAAAATCCTCATGCCTGAGTATTTTGAAAAAAGGACCCGTATATATATTCTACGACCAAAGCGCTGGCGGAAATAAAATCCTCTGAAATTGCATGCGACCATTTCTGTTCTAAGCCGTGAGGATTAATGTCTGATGTTCCCCTACTTTATATTTGTAAAGCTTGTTTGTGTGCAATTTCATGTGGAATAGTCTTTATGTCATGTTTTCTTAGACTATAATCCTCTTCTGATCTGATCTTTGAAATTTTCTAAGTTATGTTGAAACTAAAGAATATATAAGGTGCTATTATATCTTAATCCTAATATGTATATATAATATTATAAACGCGAAGGTTTGTAAGTATGGATGTTTGTTACTCTTTCACGCAATAACTACTGAACGGATTTTGAAGTAACTTTACAGTAATATACCTTATGCATTACAATAATATATAGGCGATATTGTTTATTGAAATTTAACGCCGGTGGCACTGCAGGGCAGGCGGAGCTATTACTCTATATATTATAAATTATCGATGTTCCCTGCATATAAGTCATATTGTTAGTTATGACAGAAGACATTAAATAATACTAATGACACAGGATAATTCACACAGCGCCATCTAGTCCTAAGCTAAGCAGAGCTCGTGATATAGGTTTTTCGAATTATTCTAACGCTGTAGCTGGTTTTTAAAGCTTCACGAAATGATATGTGGCTGAGTGCTGATGATAAAAGGTCTCTTTTGTTATTATTTTATTTGTACAATCTGTGAAATTTGAATATGTATAAATCTTTGCCTCTATTCATAGTTGAATCACAGCAAGTCATCAATATTCGATCATAAATATATAAAATTGAAAACGTTCTACAGCAATGTGTAGGCTTCCGTTTGGTTTATTTTTTTATATCACCCGTGATTGCTTACAATTGTTGGAGCTTTGAATTCGTATTGGGTAAACATTTCAACAGAAATGTACACTATGTTTGTAAATAAAACCTTTGAAGGGAACCCGGTTAAATACGATTGAAATAATAAATTCTGAAAGAATAGAAGTGTTTCATTACTCAATTTATTTCATCATCCAGCCATTTTTTGTTATCGCAGCATTTTGCCGGGTCGTTGCGCTTGGCAAAATGTTGTTAGCACTTTATTTTATTTATTTTATTAAAAGTCAATGCGAATAGTAAACTTCCCTATTTTAAACGAGTATTATATATTTAAAATTGTGAATGCTTTATATTAATAGTGGTAATTTTTAGCACTTAATGTAACGTTGAATACATTTATAATTTATTACTTTATTAAGTCATCCTACCAATATTATGAACGTGAAGTGTTTATATATATATGTCTATTTGCTGTCTAAACTACTTGTCCATAAATTCTTTTTATAACCGCAATCTACAACTCTACACGTGTATCTACAGACCTTATTAATTTTTAGTCAGGCGTTATATGGCATTTATTAATCAGGCGTAAATGGCTGTATGATTCAAGGGTATTGAGGAGTACCAATAAATAACAGTATTTTGTAATCGAATTTATCAACACTGTAGAATGCAGTTAGTAGATAATTATAAATATAGGATTGCACTTTGAATTGCAAATTGGTTTGTAATTAATTATTCAGAGACGAATAATATATACATATTATCGGTTTCTGAAAAATATTTAGAATTTAGAATATAATTAGAAAAATAGAATTTCGAACTTTTCACGGTTGTAATGATTATAGATTTATAAATTTTAATAATTTGAATTTCGAATCTTTAAAAGTCAAATAGAATCTCATCTTTGTGTATCCAACAGTATTAACTAAAATTAAAATTAATATTTTTAGAATAACTGTTATTTAAATAATTATTATTGGTTTCTTATATTTTTTTAAATTTCGAATTGACATTATTAGAAAAATAGAATTTCATCTTTCCGTGTCGTGTCGTACCTATTCCACGGTTGTAATGATTATAGATTCATAAATTTGAATATTTTGAATTTCGAAATTTTAATAGACAAATACATAGAATCTCATCTTTGTGTATCCATGCAGTGTTTATTAAAAATTAAAATTTTTTAATAATTGTATTTTACTTAATCCCTTAGAAAATATTGTAGCGAGTTTCAGGACGTTACACGTATATATTTCTGGATTTACAGCGCCATCGTGTCCCACTTATGTACTTCACAGCGTTTCAACTGATAACTATAAAACTGTCGGAGATAGAATTGTGCATAGTGATAGATAGATGGCGCTGTAAATATAAATGCACTATCGCGACAACTATATATTGAATTCGTTATCTATTTAGTTAAATTTTGTATTGAATAAAATAAATAAAAATAATGTGAATTTAAATATTAAATTCTCCGCACTGACGGTCTTAAAAATAAAAAAAAATAATGCAATAGGTATTCGATATTGAACATTGCTTTTTTATGGCTTGCTTCTAGTAGTTCGAGCCTGAAGGTATCAATTTACTTACTTTTAAATAGGAAATTAATCGCTGCAGTCTTGAGCTCTAGGAAACTTTTATGTATCTTATTTTCTGCTTTTAAAGAGACTTATTAAGGAATTTTATTAATAACTAGTTGTTCCCGCGACTTTATCCGCGTGGAGTTTATAAAGTTAAAGTTTTTCTAAAATAAAAAAAAAATTCTAAAATAATTCTAGCCTAAGTTACTCCCCATTACATCAGCTACCTGCCAAAAAAGCCGTCAAAATCGGTCCAGCCATTTCAGAGATTAGCCGGAACAAAAAGACCGACAAAAATTGTAAAAAATGTTTTGGTGTATATTTATATTCATATGGCTGTAGTAAAACACGATTATTCCAATATTACGAACAGACACTCCAAATTTATTTATATGTATCGATTATCTGATTTCGCTTTCAATTTTTCAGCAAAAGTTTCAGTGTAAACAATATAGGTATATGTTTCAACTGAGAACGATGGACATTGTTTAACTGTTTAACACTGTTTTTAAAATGGCATTTTTTTAAAGTTTACATTCTAAATAGAATATTTACTGTGATAATAATACTATACATGAGGAGTTCATTTAATAATATTATCACGAATTTATCACATTGCAATGAAATATCCCGTAAATTTACAAATCATAACAATAAACATAATAAAGATACAATGACGGCCTCGGTGGTCTAGCAGTTTAGCATACCGCTTTATTTCCGATGGTCACGGGTTCGATTCCTCGCACGATGAAAATTTTTTATTTATGAATATGATTGTTTGTATCGGTCTGAGTGTTTTCTATGTATATTATGTAACTATATATGTTTACAAAATAGTATCTGTGTATTTATATCAGTTGTCTAGTACCTACCCATAACACAAGCTCTGCTTACGACGGAACTAGATGGCGCTGTGTTAATTGTCCAGGGTTATTTATTGTTGCTATTTAATTACATATGTATAGTGAGGTAACAAGCAGTGATAATAATAATAATAAAATATTTATTTATCTCAAAATAATATTCTGATTCTGTTTCACATTTAAACAAGAATATCTTCTCTTCAGTTGGAGAAATGAAACTATCATCTTTGCTATTCTGTTCTGGCTTTATCCATAAATTATTAGAATAAAACATCAAGTATAACTTACCTCCATCTCGATGGAGTTAATCTGGCCTGGATGGTGGGGATGGACATAGAGGTGGTTCCCTGCCAAGGTGTGGCGACGAGGGTCTTCCCGACGGGATGTACGGCCTCTCGTTGGACCCCGGCTCGCTTCACCGTCAGACAGTCCGCCTGATGACAAAGTAAAAATAACTATCACTTATTATATATAATAAGGAATAATATAAAATAGCTTACTAATATCATAAACGCAAAAGTTTGTGAGTACAAATGGAAGTTAGTTACTCTTTCACGGAAACTACTGATCGGATTTTGGTGTAATTTTACTGTAATATAGCTATACATCCGAATAACACATAACCTATAATTTAGAAAGATAATACGCAAATTAGGCGAAATATATTATTAATATCGAGTAAGTGTGACGCAGACGAAGTTAACTATAACGATATATATATAAGACTAAGTTAAATTAGTAAACTATAATTCTGTAATTTTATTGGATATTAATGCAATGGTGCACCCGACTGCACTAATATGTAATAATATACGCTAGCAAGGCACACGTGCAGGATTATAGGATGAGCATGAGGTTAGGTCAGTTAGCCCACCGATTTCACCAGAATCAACCACGATGGATTCTAGAGGAGTCGTCCTAATGTGGTAAATTATCACAATATTATTGTTAGCAATGGGGTTACTATTCCCGATTACTAACAATCCCTTCACCCTATGATTCTGTATCACGCATAAAAAACTAATAAAATAAGTAATGTTTACTTTGTTAATGTTGTAATGTTCTAATTCAGATTTAATTAAATGATTACTATACTGTTTTACAAATAAAAATAGACCTCCAACAAAAAATATGTGTTCACAGCGGCTTAATATAACTCAATTTAAATTTTATATCCATTCTGATACGAGACTGACATTCTGACTAATTGTCTCGAGGTTGTTTTCATTAGGATCACCGCACTGAGCTGTTTAAATTACGCAGTACATTAATATCGTCATATTGTTATGGAAAAATACGACTTATAATATTGAAAATTAATTGTTAAAATGATCAAATTTTAATGTAAGCTTTTTTTATCCTTACTAATATTACTAAAGCGAAAGTAAGTTTGTCTGTCTATCTGTCTCGCTTTCACATCAAAACTACTGAACTGAAAAATAGTTGAAAGGGTGATGAAAGATTATAGATTTTGAAGTATCGTCATTTTCAAAGCTAGAAACCTGAAAATTATTTTTAGGCTGTTTATTGAGTCTATATATAAATTGAACCTAGAACAATGAAACATTTTTATTTGGAATTTATTGGATTGTTAGATTATTAAATATTTTTTCATTAATCGGTCAGGGTGACTATTTTACTACTACTTCGTACACGGACGAAGTCGCGCGTACAGCTAGTAATATATATCTAGTTATACCTACGCTTCGTCCACGTTTACTTTCGTAGATGCCATCTATAGATGCTAATTAAACGACAACATTAAAAAAAATCTGTGCATATGCTGCTATGCTGCCATCTATTACTTTACTATTAAATTAATTACTACAACTGTTGCATTTCAGTTTACAAATTAATTGTATGTTCTATCATTGCAGAATGCAATTAAAGTATAGCAGACCTCATTAGTTCTTATTACTTAATTTATAAATGGACTAATAGATGGCGTTTTCACAAATATGAACATTAATTAATTGCATTAATTATTTTGCTCAGATTTCCGAAACATATTATTATATTGAATCATATTTAATCAATTTAAAATAATTCTATGAATGTTTAATCGGAATTCTTTCAGATATCTTTGCGTGGAATCTTATAACAAAAAGACAAAACTGTTTCGGATCATTGTAATTTTTTTAAATGTAATGTACGATTATATAAATTTAAAATGACAGTAGCTTATAACCTTCCTTAAACACATCAATTGGAAAAGTGTGTTTATTTTATACTTCTTGATGGCAATAGATTAATAAATATTGCATTTAAGTGGGTAAATCACTATCTCAGAAGAAGTTAAGTACATTTAGATAAAATTAAATTATCCATCAACCAGTTATCTCCAGTAACTTTTGATGCTGTTAATAGTACGAATTGGATAATATTCACCACTTCTTTTTAATAGTTTTACATGAATATAAGTACAGACATTAATAATTTATGATTTTAAGCACTAATTTTACACGGCAAGTATGTAGATATCTTTTTAAACCTTTGCATTACAAAGGTGGCGGAAAGTTTGTCCATAAAGTACAAGTAATTTGGTTTTGTTAAATGCAGTTTATATATTTTAAACTAAGACACATTTATAAAGTTGCAAATGAACTTATTAAACAATGAGCCAGCTCATTAAATTGCAAACAAGGCAAAAACTGGGTTACTTCATAACAAAGACTTGTTACCAACTTACGGTTAGGACTCGCAGTTAAGTTAGTTTAGCTAACGAATTTAACATCTTCATTATATTTACCATTAATATTATTGTAAAATTGTGTCCAGACGAAAACTGTATGTTTGTCTCTAGAAAAAAGGATGAAACTTTTTGAGAATATATTTTTAACTATGGATTAACATGGTTCGTGAGCCTGCAGCAAGTAAAGGTGACCAAATAACATCGATTCAAATACTTAAACATGGTTAAACATGGTACAACATGGTTAAAAAATTATTTTATAGCAGTGGAAGTTAGATGCGGTTTTGAAGTAGAACCAGCGCCCCCATAGATGTGTAAAAAGTAAAAAAACTGTCATTTCCTCCCGATTCAAATTGCTATGAGAAAAAGCAGAAATAATGTCATCTACGATAAAAAAAATATGCTTTACGCCCACTATATTATGATATAGTTTATTAATAAAATAATAGGTGGCGGTACGTGTGCCTTCCTTATTTATTGCTATGTACGCGTACGATGTCACTGGCATCCTACGAACTTTAATGGTTGCATACAAACAACAATAAATAATATCTCAGGACACTACACAGCGCCATCTAGTCGCGTGCTAAGCAGAGCCTGTGATATGCATACTAGACCAAAGATGTAAGTATTCTAATATACATTATGCACCTATTTAAATAAAAACATAGAAAACATTTAATACAAGGTTACAAACAAACATACTTCATACTTCATGAATATAAATGTCTGTACCATGCGAGGAATCGAACCCGCGATCATCGGATCTAAAGCGGTATGTTAAACCTCTAGACCATATAAATATATACGTATTATAATATATATTATGTATCTATTTAAATAAATACATAGAATACAGCTAAAATGACACAAATAATTATACTCATCACTAAAATGATTTCACCGTACGAGGAATCGAACCGGCGACCATCGCAAATAAAGCGGAATGTTAAACCGCTACACCGTGACATATTTAATAAACATTTTTCAAAGTATAGTTCAGTAATCATTAATAATGGCATTTAATAAACCTCGGTGGTCCAGATGTTTGCCACACCGCCTTACTTCCAATGGTCGCGGGTTCGATTCTTCGCACGGCACAAACATTTGTATTCATGAATATTATTGCTTGTATCGGTCGGCGTGTTTTCTAAGCATAATATGTATGTATTTACGAAAAAATATATATCTATGTATTTATCAGTTATCTAGTACCCATAACACAAACTTTAGCTAGATTAACTTGAGACTAGATGGCGTTGTGTGAATTATCGTTGTGATTATTATTATGAATACAATGTGCATCGTGCAGCTGCATTCAATTTGCACTGTTCCTACGGTGTTTAATTTCTTAGACACGTACTTATGTACTTTGTTTTCTGATGTAATTGAAATGACAATGCTGACGGCTGTCGTAACCTATATACGTGAACAGCAATAAAGACATCACATTAATGGTATGATGCCCGCGATACCACTCATGCGTTATAATTCCTGAAGACTAATATGTTAAGCCACTTATTCTCTCCATCCAAAATATACTTTACCAAGGAAAGAATTTTTTTTTTTAAATAACCTTGTTGTAGAATTACACATCTAAAAAGAACCAAAAAAAGAACCTGTATCTTTAATTCATTCGTATGAATGATCCAAGTTAGTATAAAAAAATTAAAAATATTTAAGAATTATAATGAATTTTCAGAATAATGAAAAAATACTTTTATATTTACTATAACAATAGAATAAGCCGAATAGAGCCGAACGTAAATATTTACGGCAAAATGTCGGCTGATAGTATTGCTATCGCTCTAAGGTACGGAGACGCAAGGTAATTGAGATGAACGAATAATAAAGAATACCAACATCGTAATTTTATTACGGGTTCATACTCCTCTTATTAACCTTGATTGTACACCCGTTGAAGTAAAACCAATACTGTTCGTATACATAGCGACAGTTACCACTTTCCGTCAGGCGGCACACAAGTTTGTTTGCTATTCCATTAAAGAAAAAATTCGCAACCGATATGCTCTCTATTCGTCAGCGCCGAGTCGTTTACTATTATATTATAAATGCTTACAGCCCATAATTTTTAAAATCTTAAAAAGTAACGTTTAAAAGCACATTTAATTTTAGTTGGGTAAATGGATAGTTATTTTCAAACTTTCGTGTTTAATATACATTATTTGAATTATTAACACGAATAATTTCATGGCAAATAAAGGTATTTACCTATCTCGCCGTTTCGACTAGGTGAGCTCGTGACGGCTACTGCAACCTAGTTGAAACGGCGAGATAGGTAAATACCTTTATTTGCTGTAAAATTATTCGTGTTATGTCCGGTTAATAATTCAAATATGGTAAATGGATATATATAAATTCGTGTCACGTTATTTGTCTGCATATAATGCTAAGATATTTTTTATATTTATTATTTTATACCCCTTTTTTTAATATTTACATAAGAATGAGCCACCACAATACAAAACTTTTTTTTTACATAATATTTTTGTTGAATCGATATTTAACAAATTTTAAAATACAACCGTTAATTTTCGCCCTTCTACCATCAGTACGATTTTAATTTATACCGCAAAACAACGATTGTCAGAATAGCAAGTATATATAAAATAGCAGAACTTCTGTAAGTTTCAACTTCAAAATAGACGCTAAAAATCGGACTCCTGACTATGGAGAATTTTGTTAGAAAATATTCGAACAGTAAATGTTTCAAACCATTTT